CATCTTTTCCAACGACTCTTATTTTGTCGCCTAGCGATCTCTCGACTTTCAAATATTACCAAAAAAAAGGCAAATATAATTTAGTGTAAAAAATTAGATAAATGTATAATGAAAAGTTAATAAATATTGTTTCAGTATATTTCAAATCATAAATTACATTAAAAAAAACCTTAATTTGTGTCGGTTATTATTTTGAGTAAGTTGTTTTTTAAATAATTGTGATGTATACAATAATAAATTCAAAATAAAATGTCAAACAAAATTATAATACGTTTTGTGTCTGTTATTTTTGTAGTATGGATTTTTAATTACACCATAAGACATAACACAAATCCTTAATTGTACTAAAGACATAATATCTTTTTTTCCCAAAAATATAGCTCATAGGGAATAGTTTTTTTTTTCAAAATAAGAACAAAAACAGAGTATGTTATAGTAGAAAATCACGTATGATATAGTTGTTCTCTTGTTTTTTTACTTTCACCATGTTCTCGTGTGACCTTTATATGTGTCTATGTATGTGTGCTGGAATATTCAAATAAAAACCATAAGTGTTTTTACAATCGTGAGAACCAATATAAACATGATTGATACATTGATTTGGGATCATGTGAGAATTTTTTATCGTGAGAATCCCCCCCCCCTTTCTCCGGTTGTCCTTTGACTCCCCCTCTTGATTCGGCACTCCTAAAAAACGTGGTGGCACACCCGTAAATTAAACGAAAATTTGAGGGTAATGATGTAGGCGGACATTTAGTTTAAGATATTTTAAAGTCTATCAAGGACCTTAATTGTCAACTCTAACAACTTACATGTCTTTCATGCCCTAAACAAATTTGAACTATAGCTTAATATATCTCATATATCTTAGAGTAAATTAAAATATGGTCCCTAAGGTATATAAAAAATTATAGATTTATCCTTTAACTTAATTTATTACATAAGAAACCTTTAGGTATGCAGATTCTTACGGGTTTGGTCCTTCACACTAACTTCTATCAAGTTTATCCGTTAAATACGAGGGCAGAATGGTCATTGTATTATTTTTAATTATTTTTACATTTTTGGGAAAAACATTTTCAAAACAGGGGTCAGAATGTATAGAAATAAAACTTGTTCACACCAAACCACCATGTCCACCTCCTCTGTCCAAACTTGGAGGTCCAGACATGGAAAACTTCTCTCGGTTCTCTCATCTATCTCTCTCTTCACGCCACCACCAAAACCACCGTCTCCACCACCTCCCACATTCTTGTAACCACCATCGGACGGGATCTGATTCATCGGAACGATAGCCAGAATCTGAGTTCGTTGGGATCGAACGAGATCTGGTATGAAAGTTGGGCGAAATCTGGGTTCTCAAACCACGAGTCCTTGAGAACGTTGGGGTGATAGTGCTTCGTGAAAATCGAACCAGGTCTTGTATGGCAGCGATGGAGGTGGTGGAGATGGAGCTATCTGTTAAGTGGTTAGGTCTGTCGGCGATGGAGTTGGCCGATGGTTGGGTCTACCGGAGATCAAGACGACCGGAATTGGAGCTGTTGGGTGCGGCGAGAGGTGGCGGGAGTTGGATTTGTGGGGTTCCGTTCCAGATCTATATATAAAATAGAGTAACTAAAATTTTATAATAAAGAAAATTGTAAGTTAATGGTAAGTTACATATTTGGTCCATGCGGTTTGAAAAAATGGTAAAATAAATAAAAAACCAATTATCCTTATAGTTAACGGATAACTTGGACGATCGTTAGTGTGAAGGACCAAATCCATAGGAATCTGCATACATGGAGATTTTAATTATGGAATAAATGAAGTTAAGGGACCAAATCTGTAATTTTTCACACGAATTTTCTTTTTCATTATGAAAATAACACATATTTCTTGTCATTAATTAAGAAAATTCTAACTTTCTTATAAAAATTTATTAAACACTGTTTTTATACTATTGGTTTCAAAATTAAAAAGAAGTACGTAAATTTAAATATTCTCTTATATATCTATAATAAAGATAAATAAGATTTCTTTCCTTAGTAACTTATTAGTATTTCTTGTACTCAAATTTATACAAAATGAAAACCATTTATTGAATTTTTTTTTCATACTTCTCGAGGATCACTACAAAAAAAGTGAGCATTGACAATGCGACTTTTAGTGATGACATGTTTCTGTCATAAGTTGTTGCGACGACATGTTGTTATATACTCTTTCTAATGATAAATGAACTTTTAGTGACGACAAAAGTCGTTGCTAAAAGCTTTGTTTCTCGTAGTGGACCACGTTTTTACGTTCGTTCAGGGCCTATAAAATGTCAGGAACGAACATATATATATATATATATATATATACTCACACACACATATATCTATATATATATATATGTATATGTATTTATATTTGTATTTTCAATAACTTATTAGGCATGTGTTCTTTTATCTTCTCATAAATCCTTTAGAGTTGCAACAAGAAACCGGTAGGCATTTGTTCTTCGCAAAAAAAACAATAAACTTTTAAAAAACGTTTCGACTTTAGAAAACGACATATTTTTATCAAATTTAATCAATTGGTAATTTGTTTATTATAATAAAGTTCAAAAAGTGTTATCCCTTGTCAATATCTATTAACCTTATCATTGTAATATACACACATATATATATATACACACACATATATATATACACACACATATATATATATATATACATAGGGTTTATTTCAAATACAACCTATCGCATTTGTACAACCAATGCAACCCAATAAATTGAAATATTTATGAAAGTGATTAGAGTTCATTTATTATGATTTAAATATTTATGGAAGATGAATATGGTTCATTAATTATGATTAATACTTTATATTAGGAAATAATCAAAACCTCCATAAAATCACATATCAATCAAATGAAATGGACGGTTGAGATTGAGTTGTATTGGTTGCACAAATGACAAAGGTTGTATAATAACCAACCTCTATATACATATATATATATATATATATATATTTTGTTCTCGTGGAATATTGTAAATTGAAGTACCCTATGAAAATGACAAAATCTATATTTTATTATCATTAAATTTTAATTATTAAAAAAAATTAAAAGCATCTTCTAACAACTATGTTATTTTAGAAATTTTAGAGGTCAGAGAGAAAATATAGCATGCATGTTGGAGATGCTCTAACAATGCGAAAGAGTTGTATTCATATCGAATTTGTTTAACCTTTATTTAATCTCGGGATGCAAGTCTAGTAACAAGAACTTTTTGATATCTTAGCTTGAGAAATAATCAAAAACTGTTAAGAACACGACAAAAAGACCGAGCACGTCGACAATTGTTAGGCAACGTTTGATATGTAAACTGGAATGGATAGAATAGGATCGAGGGTGAATTCTAATGGTTTATCAAGGGTTATGTCCATCAACAATGATATGTTGTATTGTAGGAAAAAATATGTATTATTTTTAAGTCATCATATCAAACGTACATGACACCACAAAAAGTCACATTATGAAGAACGTTGAATTTAGAAAAATACATCTTCCAGATAATTTTTAAAATATAAATTCAATTTTTTGAACATCGCCCACCAATGGAAGAAGCATAGATATGAATATTTTTTACAAAATCATATTTGCTTTTTGTATATTTGAGTCTTTAATTATCACAATTTCTTTTTTCCAGAAACACAATAAATATGAAATTAAAAGTTAAAAACTATGAAAAAATGACACAAAACCAACTCTATAAAAATTTATATTATTACAGTAGTTTCAAAATATACACAATTGCAATTGCACACAAGAAAATGACAAAGTGTCAACTGTCAACTTTCACGGGTGTCACACTACTTGAAAATACATTTTCACCGACGGATATTAACCAAAGGATTATTGTAATTTTATGTATTTTATTTTTTAATTGTGGGAGTTCCTTTGATATATAAATGCATTTATCATTTATATTGTGGGAGTGCTTTTTAATTTTATTTTTTTAATTTGTGAGTTCTTAACAAATTAACAATTTTCCACTACATACGTATATACTACATGAATACATACATTCATTACAGTTAAGAATCACGAAAGCCCATGACTATCCAATACTTCATTAAGAATTGAACCACTAATTCATCAAAGTCTGATACATTTCATTTTAAATATATATATATATATATATATATATGTATATGTATATATATATATATATATGTATATGTATATATATATATATGCTTAGAATTTACGGTATTCAAGTGAGCCCACCCCAGAGCATAAAAGCAGTAGATATGGATGAAAATGAGTTAGTTGAGAGATAAATCCAAAAATAATGCAAGTGAGATGCCTTTTGAGCACAACAAACTTAAGTAATCAGTACTAATAACGTGTTATATTCTAAAATCAATAAAAGATTTAGTTCATTAAATATATATATATATTACTCCTAACCTAACCTCTTACATCATAACAGATCAGCTTTTTATAATAAGCCCATAAATATCTTAATAACTATTTTATTAAAGTTTACGGAAACTTTTAAGTTTTTATCAAATAATCTCTCTACATTCAAATTGATTTTTTAATTATTTATTTTTCGTGTTCTCTCAAATGTCATCATTTCTGCAATGATTAAAAACAAAAAAGATCAAATTCAACCGGTTTATCCTTGTAATTTCGAACCTAAAAGTCACAATGGCTTGTCTATATTGAATTTGATTTTTTTTTGCTTTTAACTGTTGTGGGTTTGGATATTACAGAAACAATGATATTTGAATCAATCCGATAGAGAATACAGATCTGAATCAAAAAAATAATTAAATATAATAAGTAAAATATTATTTGGTGGAAATGGAGTTGGTCAAATATGCCGGCAATCTCCGATTGTGCCACCATTGAAGACCATTTATCAAGCGATTATATAATAATTATATGTATTTATTTATATGCATGCCCAATTTTCAATCTTCAATCTTCAACTATAAATCATACACCATATCTTCAACCCACCTTTACCAATCCAAGATTCAACAGCTCACACCAAGGTACGTATCTCCATTTTTGTTTACTAACATCAATTCTTCAAATGCATTAATGTGAAGTGGACTCATTCTTCCTCTACTTATGCAGGTTTTAGGGTTTTGAAATCAATCAACCATGGGAGCTGGTGGCCAAATGAAGACGGAGGAAGACATCCTTAAACATGTTCCCGTTTCGAAACCTCCATTTGGGATTTCTGATCTCAAGAAAGCCGTTCCACCACACTGTTTCAAACGATCTCTTATACGCTCGTTTGGCTCCTTCTTCCGGGATCTTATCATAATCTACACCTTCTATTATCTCGCATCCACTTACATTCCTTTGCTCCCTCCAACCCTTTCGTACGTAGCATGGCCTCTATACTGGTTTGCTCAAGGTAGTATTCTAATGGGGTTTTGGATCCTAGGCCATGAATGTGGTCATCATGCCTTCAGTGAGTACCAGTGGGTAGATGATGCCGTTGGTTTCTTCATCCATTCTGTTTGCCTCACGCCATACTTCTCTTTCAAATACAGTCATCGTAGCCACCATGCCCACACAAATTCCATCGAGTACGACGAGGTATACATCCCAAAGCGCAAGGCCGATACCTTCTTCTCCGAGTTTCTGAACAACGGACCTGGCAACGTGTTCACTCTCATCCTAAGAACCACTCTTGGTTTACCCTTGTACTTGATCTTCAACACTTACGGTCGTGATTACAATGGATTTGCAAACCATTTCTTACCACAAAGTGGTATCTTCAACGACCGTGAGCGTGGCCAGGTTGTGCTCTCAGATGTCGGAATCGCTGCGGTTCTCTACGCGCTGTACCAGCTCTTACTAACACAAGGCTTAAAAACGACAATTTTCCTTCAGGGAATTCCATTATTTGTGATGAGTGGCTTCTTCATCTTCTTAACTTACCTAAACCACACTCATCCAGCAATCGCTCACTATGACTCGACTGAATGGGACTGGTTAAGAGGTGCTTTATCCACCATCGATAGGGATTTTGGAATCTTGAACAGGGTTTTCCACAACGCAAATCACACTCATGGCATCCACCATTTGTTCCCGACGATTCCACATTACCACGCAATCGAGGCTCGAGAGGCGGTGAAGCCCATCTTAGGTGAGTACTACATGTATGACGATACTCCGATACTGAAGGCGATGTGGAGAGACACAAAGGAGTGCATCTACGTAGAACCAGACGAGGAGAAAAAGGGTGTTTACTGGTATTACAAGTAGTACACCATGTCCATGGCAATGGGAATTCGCTACATCTTGAAACGTATATACATTCTGACTTGTATCCTAAATGCAATTATGATCTACAACATATATGCGTACAAGTATTGAGTGTATTTTGGTACCATTCAGCTCCACGTCTTTGTAGACATACATATTATCTAATATAATAAAGTGTGAATTTTGTATTATATTATTTTCCTAAAGATATATTCATACCCCTCATTTTTTTTTAATTATAATTTGTACAGCTATAGTTGTCTATAGTTAACTTGTTTTATATCTCTTAGTTTTTTTCATTTTATATCATCATCATATTAGCATGCATAATTTTATATTAAGTAAAATATATTTTAATTTTAACAAGTTACATCATTATAATCGTCTTATCAGCACCTTCAAAATAAGTCCAATTTTAAATACTTTTGGATTTAATTATATTATAATATATCAAATATAATACGAAAATTATTTATAATACTTATACTTTGAACCCTTATAGGATACATAATCGTATATTAACTAAAATACATTCAAAATATATTTTAATTTTAACAAGTTACATCATTATATCGTCTCGTCAATACTTTCAAGATGAACCAAATATTAAATATTTTTGGATTTAATCATATTTATTAAAATATTATAAATATTTTAATATTTAATCATAGAAATATATGAAAATGTTAAAAGTAACGAATTATAAAAACCATAAGGGCTAAAAATAAACTGAAAATATAAATGTATTGTATTCTATCGCCCGTTTGTTTTTAGTGTAGGGATATGAAAAGTTTTATAGTAGGTTTATATAGAATTGGGTATGAATAGAATTTGCGATTAGTTAACTAATAATAAAAATTAGAATAACTAAAAAATTGGTATTTATCAATACTAGAAGAGTACTCGTGCAATGCAGCGAGATACATCGTGTTTTTAATATTTCATTTTATTCTTTATCTCAGTCGATGTTATAATATGACTTTATGTGATTTTGAGAAAACGATGATGTTTTTATTTTTGAATAAAATATATGTTTGACGATATCATAAA